TTACCCTTCCACCCCAGGACCTTTGAACATGCTGTGTCCTTGGCTGAAAATACTCTTTCATCTTTTTATTAACTCACTACTCTCTTGTCTTTGAAGTCTCAGCTTAAATGTTACTTCCCCAGAGGAGTCTTCTCTGAACCCTAGAAAACATCCGGTCCCCTTTTACATATTCCCAGAGCACCTTCTTATTTGAGAGACTCCTCATGGAGGTAATTAAGTACTTAGCTCATCCTTAATTGTTTAATGTTTGTGTCATTGCTAGGATGTAACTGCCAGAAGGGCAGGGTTTGCATTGACCGTCTTCATGCTCTATCCTCTGGTATGGGGCCTCACTCATAGTTGGTGCTCAAAGAGTATTCACTGAATAGATGAAAAAAGAATAAACGAGTTGATCAATAAAGGATTGCCTTATTTCAAAGATTCCCCTTGATGTTTCCTGACCTGTTTTTATTGAAAGAAGACCATGGGATGTGAGCCATGGAGACTTTTACCCAAGTCACAAGTTTTCACCCAAAGTTGTGTCCTTTTCACCCCTGATGAGAACAAGACTTCCTCAGGGACCATTTGTTACCTGCGGGACAGCAGGCAGCTTTGTGTACCAAATGAGCTGCAGCCACTCTGACCAGAGGGATACACTGGATGATCGAAAGATTCCACCTCCCTGAAACAGATGCTTCATTTTATGATGGAAACAGAGAAGCCAAAGCCTGCAGGTGCGGGCTGTGCTGACACGGGCTCTGTGGAGAATCATTAGAGCCTCCTTAGAGATGTGGATTTACTCTGTGTTTAATCAGCGACAGGCAGAAGTAATGGCTTCATTTCAGTTCAATGAGAGCCAGATCACGAAAGGAAGATAGATGGCCAATACGGTTCATCACTACAACATATTGTCTTAATTTGAAGAACAGCCTGGCACCTGTGCTAATCAAGGAGGAGCATGCAATACGGCTAGCAGTGAGGGCCAGTCAGCTTAACTCTCAGGGCGCCCCTTAAGGAGAAGCTCTCATTTGTTTTCTTAACTAATATTTTAAGGAACGTGAGAACCATAAGACACCTTACTCAATCACTTAAGAAGTTCCCCAGCTTGGAATTCAAGATGCTCAAGGAAGGACTTTCCATACCTGTAATTTCTGAATCTCTACCTGTAAAAAAGTATTGCAGCCAATGAATGAAGTGTCTTAGGACAGGCAATCAATGTTCTGGCCGCTTTTAATACACGGTCATGTTTGCAGTTGACCTGGAAATAGCTACAAATAGAGACGATGTTACGTCTATTGTGTGGATACCTGCTGGTCCCTCATAGGCTCTTGTTTTCAGTGGCTTGGTCCTCTGCTTGACTTTGGTTCTCCAGGACTTGCCTTGGGGAGGCATGTAAAATGGATATTCAGTTCAGCTGCAGTTAGCTTCTCGGTTGCCTAAAAATGCCAGAAAAGGGATTTGAAGCTTGTGTGGGAGCAATAACACATATCTGAACTCAGCATCCTTGCCAAACCCCTCTTATTTGAAGTAAAAGCAGATAATGAGTAGTTTGGGTCCTTACAAACAAGTGGATGTTTTAGAATCATTTGGTATGTGTCACATCCATGTTTTCATTATATCTCCCGAGCTTTCCCACAAAGAGCTTTTATAGCCCTCCCCACCCCAACGACTATTTTCCAGATGTTCTGAAACAACATCAAGTGACCCAGTTTACCCTTGAGAGGTTTATAAAGGTGCATTTATGGAGAAACCGGCTGAGTGAGGCTGAGATATTCGCTCAGCAGCTTAGTCCTAGATAATCTCCTGTGAACATGGCAGCGAATCTTACTTTACCTAAGGCACATTCAGTATGCTTTTTAGAAAATGGTATGCTAAACACTCCTCAAGTGAAGAAGAAACTTAAGAAGCTTAACAATGGATGTAGAAATATTATCATCAGCTAGCAGGGTAATAGTATCTAGTCATTCCCCACCTACAGGCACAGATTTAGGCTTAAGCACATGAAGACAACACAGTAGAAGTGTGTGGTCTTGGAGTGTTTAAATATCAGCCACTCAAGGGGAAGGACTTAGTGAGCGTAAAACCTGAACACGTGCCATTTGCTTTTTGCGCTGAATGTGATGAAAACAAAATCACAATTGCGTAAACAAAAAGAGCATACCAAGAGGCATGCTGAGGTTTTGTGCAGACCTTTATGGGGAAGCAATACCATTGAAACAAGAGAAGTCATCATTTGTAGACAGGAGATTGTTTCATTCTTTGCACACAGGCAGCACAAAGACCAGAGCAGTCCCTGGGATCGGAATCCAGGTCTTTGCCTAGGTAGTGGTGGTGAGCCATTTGTCAAAGGGAAACGATATGTTGCCTTATATTCAGATGTATGAAAAGAGCCACAATGTCCCTCCAAACATGGGCGTTAGGCAACATGTCAAAACCAGGCAAGAAGGTGGGATAATTCTTCCACAGCACATCTGCCATGTATAGATGACATTCAGGGGAATAGGTCCCCCCCAGCCCCAAAGTAAGCGACACGCCAAAGCCTTGAAGTGAAAAATACCTAATGTTCTATAGTATGTCAATCACCCAGTGGCTACCAGTGCAAAATGAACAACCTTCCTGGCATGACTTCCATTATCACTGGCACTAGACTCACTGCAGTCATCCTGTTGAGGTCCTTCACACATGAAAGTGAAAGCGAGCACGTGTGAGAGGCCCCTGCTCTCTGCAGATCTCAGAATGCCTGCTGGTGGCCTGCTGTTAGGCAGCCGTTTACACAAGAGACTTTGTAGCGCTGCAACTAATATATGACAGTCCTTTTGCTGAGTCCAGAAATTGATGCTCCTTCATCTGTTGGAAGGATGGGAAGTCTTCGTCAGCACTGACGTGTTTGTCTAGCTCAGAATGTGGTAGAGAAGTGTAATTCCAACTCTCGTGGTCAGATGGATGCCCACTTGAGACAAAGATCAACTGCTCTTTGCCTTGAAAACTTGTGGTCTGGAACATTAAAGACATCATTTTGAGTCAGTTGTCATTGCTGGTGCTTTTTTGATTCCTACAAATGATCTGTTCGTAGTTAGAAACATGAATTACGTTACTCTTATCTTAACATCCTTAACCGTCAATGTTGTTATTGGTCATCAAATTAGCCACTTCCTCTCATTTCAAATCCACTGACAGTTTTGGGTGGTTTGAGTTGAGTGGGTTGGACAAGGGGAAATAGGCGATTTCCTCTGCCTCTTGTAGAGTTAATCTCTCATCCAGATACTGCTAAAGCATCTCTTTCAACAAGAGTCTTTATTCCTAGTTTAGCAGCATACTGTAAAGAACAAGTTTCTTCTTTACAATGCTCCAACTCAAAGTCCAAATGATAGACGATTTCCTGGTCCTGAAGAAGACACTTAAGCACTTCTATTTCTTTCAACAATTTATTCCAGTTTGAACAAAACAGTCCATTTTTCATTTAAGCATGGAGCAAGCAGATTATGTGTATGCAAACAAAAATGTCTGGCTTCTATTTAGGTGGTGGGTAAGAAGGACCTAGAAAGAATCTTACCAGCCAGAAATATTCTTTTCTTGTGTCCAGCATTCAATATTTGGGGGCTTCTCTCCTGTCAACACAAATTTCCTCTATTCTTAAAAGTCCTGTTTGGGTTTGCTGAGAAAACAAACTTTCTTACCATGGATCTTTGGATATTTTCTTAGTCTGCCTTGGTAGCACCAATGAAGGAAACTTCTAGTTCTTAATCTTTGCATTCCTTTGTTGTGCATTAACCCCTTCCCTTCTTCCCAACACCCTCCCTCCCACAGTCCACTCACCAAATAACTACTTGGGCTGCTCAGGTGGTTAAGCCGGCCCTGAATCTAGAAAGTATCCATGGCTTCATCTATTGCAACAAATTTCTCTTTCCCGGAGTCAAACATTTATTTCAGCTACCTTGTTTTGGTCAATGTGATACATCTTAACTGCTGAAATGTCACTTCTGTGGCAATTATTTCTACACAGAAACATTTGCAAACATCTTCAAAAAGGAATCCTCCTTCCTTATTCCAACAAAAATATAGCTAAGTTAGCATGCATGTTTCTAAAATCCTTTTTGCTTTATAAAAGTCATTCCTTTTCTTTCTTCCTGATCAGCAGGAAGAGGTACATATACCCATGCTCTCTACCCAAGGGTGAAGCTTTATACATTTTGCCATATGTACTTGGCCCACAGAGGCTCAAAGGGGCTATAACACCTTCGAGCATAATAGTGATTTTAATAATCTTGTGACAGGTTTCCCAACTGTCAGGTCTTTGGGGAACTGAGATGTGCTTCTTCCCTGGGTGCCTCTCAAGGGAGCGATTCAAATCAGGAGTGATTGGTGCTTCTCTCTTATATTCGTAGTATGTAATGAGAGTCCAAGTGTCCAGAACTCTCCCCCATGTGGAACCTTCCTAGAAGGGTGAGCCATCCTAAGTCTAAAGAGGAATCATTGCCACACAGAAAACTTCTATCAACTTCCTTCTGCGCTGTGTGAACATAAGATTCATCTGAGTAAAGTGTTATGAGAAAATTCATGCCTCATCACAAAGAAACAGCTGTGTATTGCCACACTCACTGACTTTTGAAAGATGTTAAAAGAAAGTGTTCATTTCAAGCCAGTCACTTCAGCTACAGCTTCCCCTTCAGGTTTTAATATCATGGTGTCTCCTTCTGGTCCTGTTAAGTGTTACCTTGTTTCTCTGATAGGAGAGAGGAAACTAGGACCTGTAATTTATGGCTCCTATTAAGAGGGCTGGCTAGACGTGTGGACAATATGTCAATAATTATTTCTGGTGGGGCCCTAACAGCAGAGGAAGTGCCTCTGTAGAATGGCTTATGTTAACAGAAGACAGATATGCCTGACCTGGGTTTTATGACAGATGTCAAATATATCGAAGTGTGTTGTGAAGCAGATCGCCTTATTGGCAAAGAAATGAAAGACCACCAGGAAGATAGATGGGGGGCTTTCCTCAAGGGTTTTCTTGTCTCTTTGCACAGGTACCTCAGTGAACCTGAAGAAGGGCCAACAGGCAGGCGAGAGTAGAGACTTTGGTCAGCGGTCTGAACTTCTGCCTGTCCACGAGACTTGGAAACAAAAGTCCCCAAACCCTGGAGCGTTGATGGGAGATTGTGGGGTGGGGTGGGGGAGCAGGGTGGGTACTAGGACGACGTGAATGAGGCCATCCTGAGAGCGAGCACCTCCTTACATGTGACACTCTAGGTGCTTCCTGGACCTGCTCAAAAAATGTTGGTTCTCCAGCCTTCCTTCCCAAGTTCAGTTCTACAAATACTTCTTGAGGGCCTACCTTGTGCCAAGAGCTGTGCTGGGCATTGGAGATTCATACTGAACACCAGAGGCTTCCGGCTATGACCCCTGCTCCAATCATAGACCTCTCTGCTTTCCTTATTCTGGGTCCCTCTACCTTGGGAGGACATAGGATCTTGGGGTCACTAATTTGCTGCTGGGTGGCCTGGGGTGAGTTGATTCACTCTCTGAAGCTCGTCTTCCTCAGCTGGAAGAAGAGGCTTGGACTCCTGCCTCATAGAGTTGAAAGGATTGAACATCACAGTGTCTTTACGCTTGCCCAAAAGCTTATATACGGAAACTATAAAGGGGGAAGCGACCACACCCCACTGTTTACCTTCTAGCTCATAAAGTCTGCTTTTTCAGGTAATTTATGTCACCCTCAAGTGAAATTATCTGCCGTTAGATACAAGCTTCTAGGCAGAATCCTAGGCCCTGAGCTGCCTCTGTCAAACATGGTTATCAGAAAACTGTGCCCCTTGGGACAAATTAATTACGAAAAGGCCACCCTTTTTGGAGAGGCGGGTGTAGCCAGCACTGGGTGTTCAGCTTGGTGGGAGAACCGGCTGGATTTCAGCTGTCCCTAAGCCGAGTGCCCTTGTGCTGGGCATAGCCTGCACAACTGTCTGTGGTGGTCCCGCCAGCACTTCACACGGGGCTGGGCCCAACACACACACTCAGTAAATGTTTTCAGACTCAATTTATTACAGTCACTATTGTGTCTAGAATGATGACATTATATTTTCAAAGAGATTATTTGAGTCGTTGGAAAGGCATAGTGGGTAAATTATGAATAAAATGTAAAAAGTCACCACAACAGTATTTTTTTGTCTTCTTAAAATGTTTCTTCCTCTCAGTTAATCGTGAAAAAGAATATAGTATTTCATTCCTTCTGGGTTTGCCGGACATAAATGGTTACAGGGTTTTTTCTGGTGAGCATGAACTACCGGGGAATCAACGCTAGTGTGGATTAGAGAAAAGTGTGGAGAAATTGAAGCAAAACGGATTATTAAGGAAGGATATGTGTGTCCTTATGCATATGGGATTCCTCACGACGAGGTAAGGGAGAGGAAATAGAAATTGAGAATAGTTTGCAGGGAAAGTTAGTTGTGATACAAAATATTTGTTGATTTAACTATTTTTCCTTTTGCTTCTTCAGTAAAGATGGTTTAGATGCTAAAAGTCAAATCCTTAATAGACGGAAGAACTGCACAGGCTTCTGTTTTACGCTTTTATTTTGTCCCATATTGTAGTAGGATCACGAAGAAAAATCTTAAGAATGCAGATTTTGTTCTCTTTCTGTATTTTACCCTGATCTACTGGGCTTTTGCCCATGACTACCAACAAAGAGGAGATTTTGTCAGAGGAGAAGTGGGATGTGAACTGTTTTTATAGGTTTCATCCTCCAAGACAGCTGCCAAGGAGGTTAGATGCTTTCTCTATGGAGCAGAAAATGCAAGTCTCCCTAGAAGGAAAAAAGCAAGATCTGGTTTTATATAAAAGGTAGGAGAATGGGGTAAAAACTCAACTGAAAAAGGAAGTGCTCTGTATGTGGGGCAGTTGCCTTTAGTAAGATGGTAAGGATTAGATTTGTGGATCCCAAGAAGGTAAGTCGCTGTAGATGTCTATCTCTTAGGTGAGCATGAAGTGTCAAAGGAGAAATGATTTTTAGTTTGATTCTATAAAATGTAGACTCTGTAAGTGGGCTGAAGGAGGAACAAATGGCTTTTCAACCACAAGAGTATTCCACAAACTCATATTCTTTTCTCTTCTTCGTTCTGATTTTTTTTGCCTCCCCCCTTTTATTTCCCTCTGAATTTGTATTAAATTCGCTACATGCTCTTCAGGGAGAGAGGTTCTCCAGTGTTTAATCGAGGTGTAAGATGCTATGAATAAAAAAAGGGGGCGATAGGAATTCACCATTGCTTCATTGAACTAAACTATAGCTCATCTCAATATACCCTTCTCCTCCAGGAAGCTCTAGGTCTCCAAGGCCTTTATTAACTTGATCTTTGGGAATAGTGTTTTAATTTTTTCCATAATCATCATGCAAATTGATCATGATAATCTCTGGAAAGGAAAATGAGTGAACCAATGGCCTCATTAACTCCAATGCTAGGGGGACCCGCGCTCCTAAGTGCTGGTCCCTTAGCCCACCGTGGCCAAGGCCTTCTTTGTGTGTGAGTGGTCTGGTCCCCAGTGCAAGCTGTGGCTTGTTCCTTGCCTGGCCTGTTTAAATTGCCTCATGCATTTACTGCCTTACAAAATAATGAGAGAATAATTTGAAAGGGCCCAACCTTACAAAAGAAACATTTGTGTTCTGCTAGATTCCAACCAGGATCTCTAACTCTCCCATGACAGGACCATACCATTGATGTACATGTTTTATCTGGACTTTACCTAAAAGACATTGAGGTCTCAAATTGCTAAACTTTGGACAATAAATGGAATCAGTCAGCATTAAAATGTATGGCTCAGATGTGTCATTCCTAACATTGTTCTGCTGAATTCAGAGGGATTTTTAAAGAGTGTGTTTTAATTTTAATTTAACCTGGTGAATGGCAGAGACAAATAGATCTGTCCAAAATATACTTAGTAACAGATTTTTGAGTTGGTTATTAATTTAATGTAAGTGGTTCCTTTTTTTATTTTTATAAACTGTAAGATTCAGGAGAAAGCAGAATCAAATGTAATACACTTTTATTGATTGCCTGCTATGTGCCAAGCAAGGTGTTAAATGTTTTCAAATGCTACCTGGTTTATCCTCATCTTACAGGTGAGGAAAAGGGAGTGTGAAGAGGTGAAATAGTTTGCCCAGCTGGAAAGTGGCAGAGTCATTTACAGATCTGCCTCATCGTTAAAAAAACTTGATGCAACTTTTTGAAAATTAACTTTTTCAGAGCTACGTACAGCTAGACTGTTTCTCAGTGGAACTTGCCCTATCCTTGAGAAGTAAGAAGTTACTATAGCTCTTGGAGCCATTGGGTACCATCAACCTCTGGATGAGGATAGTTACTCAAAGGGTGTCCAGCACCATGCCTTGGACACACTAGTGCCTTCCACTGATTAATTGTATCTGTGGCAGAAAAGTATATCTCTTCCTCTTTTGGGGAAGGTTGCTCCCTTCTAGTGAGGTACGGATGTAGGAGGTGCTCATGAAGTCAGGGGTGGGGAGGAATGGAGGTGCTGGATGGATTAGCTCATCAAATCTAGCCTCTCAGGAGAGAGCAGGGCCACAGGTCCATCTACCTTTGGAAAATCCCTTTATCTCAGCTGCAACGCATCCCAGTTACATATACTTTAAAGTCATTCTGACCTCTCTCAAGAAATTTTATAACCAATATGCATTGACACCTACTATCTGTAAGGTCTTGAATTAGAATACAATGAAATATACCTTCAATTAACATTTGTTGAGTTTCTACTACATGTTGGGAATTATGCTAGGCATTCCAGATACAAAGATAAAAGGGCCTAATAATCTTGTAGGGAAGGTGGACTTAGGAACAAATGTGCAATATTAGAAAGATGACCCACAGCAGAGCAAGAACAAGGAGGGGCTTGAGAGACGCAGTAATATTTGCAGTTATTAGTAAGAGTTCTCCAGATTGAAAAGTTGGGGTAAATACATTCTATTTTGAAGGAACTACATGTTTAACTTGACAAAACAAGAGTACGTTAGTGCCTTGGTAATAGCCATATACATGGTGCAGTTGGATTAGGAAAGTGGTGCTTAACGGAGGAGAGCTGGCACTACAGTGAATTTATCTAGTAGGATGATATTTTCTCAAACTGTGCTTAGAAATTTCCTTGAGATGTTAATTGGTACTGTCTGGGAAAACAGGGGCTTTTAAGGCCAAATAAAATGTGAGGAACACTGTGTTAGCCTGTTACATGGGGTTCTTTCCTGCAGGACTTCTCAGAGCCATCAATGTGCTACTCTGAGCTATAAATTTCCAAGAGCTTGCCCTAAACCTATTTGTCTTTCCCTTTTCACAGTGCTTACAGGGTTCCGTGGATCTCAGAGTGGAAAACACTGCTTTAGGGTAGAAGCAGCTGTCAGCAGTCTTTGAGAAGTGAATGGTTTCTATTTCAGAAAGAAACTTTAGGCACTTGGGAGGAACATGCCAGTGGTGAGAGACTAGGTACAAGGCAACCTGTAACCAGGTTGTTAAATCTTCCAGGCAAAAGAAAATAAGGATCAGAATTAAGGCGCTGAAGATGTAAAGGAGAGGATGGAATTCAAGATACTTAGCAGGTAGATAGATGGATAGTCTGTGACAATATGGAGGGTGAATGAGAAAAAAGATTTGAGGGCGACTCCCTAGTTTCTAGTTGAGAAGCTTGGAAGTGAAGAGAAATGTTGGGTAGAAGATGAGAAAAATAATTTAATTTAGGACGTGATGTAATAGATATAAGACGTGTAGATAGAGCTTCTCAACTCAGCCAAGAATGAGAGATACTAATCTACAGCTCAAGACACACGTGAATATAACTGTATCTTTCTATATCGCTTCAGATGACTCTTTATTATCTAGCGGTGTCTTAGGGGTCATCATAATGAGGTGTTGCTTGACCATAAATGTATAGGAATGCAGGTTAGAGAGAGCTGTGTTTAAAAGAAAGCCAAATGCAATTTATTTGTGAGCTGTATTTATTGAGATACTACCATGTGCCTTGCACAGCAACAGTGCACAAGGAAAAAACGGGCAAACAAAAAATAAAGGTAAATAAATAAATAAGGGAAAAAGAAAATCCTTTTTTCTTGACCAACCAGCCTTGCTCAAGAAGCTTATTATCTTAGGCCTACAGAAGAAATTATAAGTGGCCAGATTACCTGTGTTAGGATCCTGGACCTTCCACTTGCTAGATGACCTTAGGCAAGTTATATAACTTTTTAAAGCTTAGGTTTTCTCGTTTGTAAAATATTGTTTGCAGACTATTAGTATCTTCCTCATTAAGGAGTTGTGAGGATTGGCCAGGGTTAAACAAAAATTTATTTAATGTATTTTGAATGTATAAAATAAATTTCTTTAGGAAATAAAGTATGCATTGTGATCTATTTAATAAATGTTACTATTTTGTTATTTCCAGTTAATACCAAATAATAACCTGTCTATTTGAATTGCAAAAATCAAGCTGGTTTGAATTAAAGAAGTGTGAAAAATTCTTGGGTTGGCAAAATACGTAATGCTTTCATCAATTAAAAATAGGTAAAATGTGTTAAGAATAATGAAAAGTTCATGCTTTAATTGAACTGACTTTTCATGAGCCTATATTTTTATGAAGCTTAATGAAATGAAAATTGAAATGGTGCCCATTATGAAATCTGTGTTAATTGTTATTGTTCCCATAAAGTTCACAGGATTACAAAAAGTTTTGCAGTTATGCCAACTAGAAATGTACAGTACCGGCCTTTCATTTTCTCCGAATTTATTTTTGGTAATAAAGACCAGTATTCACCTTGGCATACAGAGCATTTGCTAAATTGAAAACTTCCGTTAAATACACTAGAAACTGTTGACATCAGATTGCCAAAATTACAGGGTATTTTTATCAAAACTGACAAAACTTTCTTTTTTCTTCCTGGCTTCATCGTACGCAAGACTGTTTCTCCACTTTACTGGTACTCCAATACTATTATAATCTTAAATATCGTTGTGCTAGAAGGCATTGCAATATTAATTAAAAATATAGTCTAATTATTTACCCTCACTGGTTCATACAAACCCCTACAGTATAATCAGTGGACTCCCTTAAGGGGTTTCACAATGTTTTGGAGTGAAATAGGAAGGTTTGTTCCTGACTTACACTTGGCTTATGAGTGTAATTAAGTATAACCTACAATTCACCTTTAGGTCACTAGATCAAATATAACTTATCTGGGCAATGTCCAAAGGTATGTGCTGATGTTGACTGACTGCTGTTGGGCGGCATACATAAAGGAGGGGAACTTTTAATTTACCTCCAGGCATCTCAGAGAACATTCCGAGTGTTTCTGGAGACAGAGGGAGAGCAGAGGGTAGCCAAATCGGTCATTCTTTATTGACGGTCCTCAAGACAAAGTGCCATAAACCCAGCCTGAGAACAGCTCAGCTGGCTGAAGGTGTTTGGTGACAATTTCTTCCCACTACTGGCTTTAGCGCTTGCCTAGAGTTGAGGAGAAATATTTTCTAGCTGTTAGAGGTGTGATGTGAAGACTCCTGGGGCTGAATCATCAGGGGAGATTGCCCTCTGGAAGCACAGCAGAGAAATGTTTCCAGCAGGGTGGTCAGATGTCTTTAAAACTTTATATCCTTGGGCTTATCTGGCATTATTAAAAAAAGAGAAATTTCTTTCAGAAGGAGACTGAAAGGGTCTTTCACAAATAGGTCTTAGAAAGAGTGTCGGTACCAAAACTGCCATTTGGCATAAAATGGCCAAATGTTACCCTCACCCCCTTAAAATTAAATGTATGTCGAAGAGCTTACTCAGTTTGAAACATCGAATTAGCTGGCCTGAGGAAGAAGCCAACGGGGCAAGCAACCATATAAAGTATAAAAAGATTTGGGGCAATAGGAAATAGTAGTAAAAATAGAATAATATTCGATTCTAGATATTGAAACTCATTAGAACTTAGGGTGGCTGAACTGTACATTCACTGAGAGACATTGTGGAAGATGAGAAGAAAATGGTATTTTGGGCTAGATATAGAAGACTTTGAGTATCTTAAACATTCTTTTGAAATGTAAAACACAAATGTAGAGCGTAGTTTTACCTACATAAGCAATTCAATAGAAAAGTCTCGATTCATCCAGAATCTGAACCGGGGGCAGGTATTTGCTGTGACTTTCCTGGTTGAATTCAACCTGAAATTTTGGCCAAGGAGAGTTAAGAATTCAGAGTAGAAATGGGCTCACTCTTGTTTCGTAATTCAACAAGTGTTAGCAGCCAGGAAGGTAAATCAAAACGCTAAAGGCGTATGTGAGGAAGACAGTAGATGATGCCTCCCATGGGGTGATCCGTGAATAGAGAAAAGGATAAAGCAGCCAGGCACTGTGGTGTTTGGGTTTCTGCCTACGGAGTAGTGACAAATTGGATCCTTGTCAGCTGGAAGCTCTGACTCACAGAAACATGAGAGGTCATGTGAGATATAAAGTCCAACAGAAAGAGTATAAATGCACTCGAAGGGTTTCATTTTATAACGTGTTAATCTTGATATTGGGGGATTGGTGGGGAAGTTGGTTGAATCCACTGGAAAGCATTCCAAAACACACCACATCTGTTGCAGTGGATAAGCGTCCATCCATCCACTCACTCAACAATATTTATGGAGCGCCTACTTCATGTGGGTCACCGGGATGAGCAGAAACAGACGGGTCCCTGACCTCACAAAGCTTACAGTTAAATGAAGTGTCCGAGGAGGAAGGCACTGGCTGTCCCACTGGGAATGTGGGCAAAGGGGAGAGTGTTATGAGATGTGGAAGAGAGCCAGTTCATACAGGCCCGTGTAGGCCAGGGGCAAGATTTTATTTTTATTTTATTTTATTTTATTTTATTTTATTTTATTTTATTAACAGTTTTTAACATTGTGAAATTTTGGGTTGTACATTTTTGTTTGTCCATCACCGTATATATGACTCCCTTCACCC